TGTTTTTTTTAGCCGAGCTCATACCGAGACTGAGAAACGCTACGCCCAAATAGAAAAGGTTTTTTTAGCAAAGTATATCATGCACTGGAGAAGTACAACCAATACACATTTGCTCRTTTTTTTAAGGTACAGAGTGATCGCACAAACCTCTGGAGACAATACTCGAAAAACCATTTTTTTGTGCACCCCGCCGCCTCTAAGCTGTGATGATGCGTTTGCAGAAATATGATTTTTTTTTTCGTTTTACATTCAGATTGCTTAATGCCGTGTGCTATAGCTATGACGGATTTTTTTTCTTGACAATACGAAAGTTAAATTCAAATATATTTCATTTTTGAATATACTTTTTTTTTATCATATGCTGAATCATCCGTTCGATCGAAGTGTTTGTGTCTTGATATTTTTTTTTCTAGCTCTAGGTATGCAAACGCGTTTACAACACATACACAGCAAGCCCCTTTTTTTGGGATAGAAAAGACAGTATCACAGTAGTCTAAAACAGATATAAGGCAGAGTTTTTTTATACCTGTTAAACGCAAAAAATGAGACAGCTTGAATGAAGCTGGAATGAAAAATACCAAAATTGATAAGAAATAAAGAAAAAAATCTTTTTAGAGAAAAAGTCTGAATTTTTTTTCAAGATCAAACTAAACATTCAACTTATCAAATAGGGGGGTGACTTATCATTTTTTTCACCACCCCTAAATCCGACCCTGGTAAATTTACGTTTACGACTGTCTAACTTTTTTTAACTTCAGATGTTCTCTGCAAATAGTACAAAATATCTGTTCACGCTACGCTTTTTTTAATACTTTCTCCCATTTTTCACACGATTACACATTTATAGTAAGTAAAACTTCCATCAGTTAACCTTCAGCCCTCCCAATACTTTAAACCTGTCTGCTCTGACAGCCACACTAATTCCAAAACTATCTGATCATCAACTTATAACACTTAAATAGATTACATGTAAAAAGATAAAAATTTCTAATCTCAAAATATTCAGAAAGACAGCTTTTGGAGTATAATTTTTTTCAACCATTTTTTTTTTATTTGCTTTGGTGTCCAATGTATGTTATTGGTCTTTTTTTTTTCAACGAAACGTTCAGAAACCGTGTTGGTTTTTCTCCAGATTTTCACTGTTTTTTTAAGGTTACACCTGCTTTCCATCATTGGCTTCCTCGTCGGCTAAATATTGATTTTTTTGGTTATTCCACTTTACTTTCTTGGTATACATATTCCCTCTAAAAGTAAACTTTTTTTGCTTCCAAATGTTCTAAAGATCGTCTTCCTCGGAACTGCTCTCGGCGGTCTTTTTTTCAGAAACCCATTGTTCAAGTCGCTTTCTGATTGGCTGTTTTGCGCTGAATTTTTTTTGTGCAATTCTAAAAAGAGCACCAAGAGGGGTAAATGCAGTTCCAAGAACTTTTTTTTAAGAGGAAGGTTCCTAGTAATGGGCTCCTGCAATTGTAAAGTCGAATCAGTTTTTTTGACGATCAAGAGAATCCTTAAAAAGGCCCTGGACGGTGGAATAGACACATTTTTTTTCATCCTCGACACAGGCACACACCAATGATATCACTAGCTGTCACTAGCCGTTTTTTTACATCACTAGATATCACTAGCCATCACTAGATATCACTATATATCACTAGTTTTTTTTAGCCGTCCCTAGACATCACTAGATATCACTAGCCATCACTAGATATCACTTTTTTTCACTAGCCGTCGTCACTAGATATCACAAGGCGTTACTAGTCCCAAAATATTTTTTTTGTTAGTCAAAGGGGTGGTACGCATCACGACTCACGGCTAAAAATTTGGCGTTTTTTTGATGTTCCGTGTCTGACATCGGAGTTTACGAAATTTCATAAGTGTCGCTTTTTTTTTTGATGTATTCTATGGCGAGCTAAATGTGCATGGTAAAATCAGGAAGTTTGTTTTTTTTTCATATTATTATTTGACTCTAAACAAAATTATAGTATTTTAAAATCGAGTTTTTTTAGTTTCTTGTCACACTTAGCGTGACGCAGGCACTAAATGAGTGGGAGTTTTTTTTTTTACAAAACAAATCCCAAAAATACTATCTAAGAAAGAAAAAACCTTTTATATTTTTTTATAGTATTTTAAAATCGATATCTTATCTAATTACAGAAAATTTCAGAATATTTTTTTTGTCCGTACGAATAGAAAACATAACTCGGCCAATCTGTTTAAAAATTGATTTTTTTTTGCGCAATCGCCGCGCTGAAACCTATTATACGTTTAATGAAAAAAGGCCATTTTTTTCGCGCTTATATAGAAATAATTGCCAAATGATTCTGGAGATATTGCAAACATTTTTTTATGTAGGAAGCTAATCTAAGACAACAACAAAAAGAAGAAAAAAAGAAATATTTTTTTAGAAAAAACTTTGGTTGGATTCGAACCCATGACCATAAAAACGAAAAAAGTTTTTTTCGATTCCCCCGAGACATTCTGTGAAGCTGGGGCGGCGAATCGATTTACATTTTTTTTAGAGATTTCGGCTCTTCCATGCTATCCCGATAATTGGTCCTAACTTCGCGTTTTTTTAAAAGCCAGTGAGGGAGAAGCTATCCGGCCCCTAGACACTGATGGATAACTTTTTTTACTAACTAGGCAACTATCGAAAGTATAATGTCAAATTGGGGTAGTCTATTTTTTTTTAGTGCCAAGTGGTCTATTATTATGTAAATGAGCGTGGTCCAGTGGCGCACTTTTTTTAGGCGCTGCTTGCAAATCCAATGTAGGTTTGACGGTAGCAGGATCGATTCTTTTTTTGAGACGTTTACTGATTGTGTATTTTCATTTCTATTTTATATATTGTTTATTTTTTTTTTTTATCTATTTATTTTTTTTGCAGAATTATTGTCATCTCTTGTGTTTGGTTTTTTTCTGAGAACTGACTTTTTTTTACGAAGTGGCTATATGATCGGCTCCCACTCTTTTTTTTCGATGTACTAACATACTAAATGAGTGCTAGTTAAGTAGATAACTTTCAGTTTTTTTTGAAATAMGTTTTYCATTACTTTTTCATAATTTGTTTTGTGCTGGGATAGTTTTTTTGGTAGCACAGTTTCCCCTTGTACTTTATAGGCACTTMGTTATTATAACTTTTTTTTTTCACTCTCACATGTCAAATTTTGTCCGTGCCCTGACTTGTCTGMAGGACCTTTTTTTTACTGCCTTGTTGGTAGGTGCGATCCAKTAGAATTTTGAGGGGGTGGGGGTTTTTTTGTGAAAGATTTAGGGAAAACAATTCCTGAACGGACGGAGGGGCCGARAAATTTTTTTTTGCAAGGCAAAATTTTGAAAAATTTCCACTAAAGCTTTTATTTTTTTAATTTTTTTTCGGAKTTAACTGTCCTTCTGAGGGACAAAACTGAATCACGACTCACGACATAAAACTGATAAAGAATATTCACACGTCACGGCTAATTTTTTCGCATTTTCACGACTCACGGCTAATTTTTCAGGCGTTTCACGGCTCACGGTTAACTCCATTGAGACCCTCTAGCATCACTAGCCGTCACCAGAGTTAGTAACTCTGCTCTTACATAGTACAAGTTGTTCAATAAAACTCAGATTGCTTTTAAAACACAAAGGCCTAGTTATATAGTTATATATTGTTTTTTTATTGATAGGTAGAGACGGTTAGTGATGGCCAGTGATGGCTAGTGGTGATATTTTTTTGCTGGTGATGACTAGTGATGTCTAGTGACGGCTATTGACAGCCAGTGATATTTTTTTATGCCTAGTAATGTGAGAATGTGTAGTGACGACTAGTGATGCCTATAGTGTTTTTTTGTGATGGCTAGACGGCTAGTGATGGCTGGTGATGCCTAGTGACGTCTAGTGCGATGGCTGGTGATGCTTAGTGATATCTAGAGGTGGTTAGTGAGGGCTAGTGATGGCTAGTGATGGCTCTAGAGGTGGTTAGTGAGGGCTAGTGATGGTTTTTTTTGGCTAGTAATGGCTAGTGATGTCTAGTAATGTCTAGTAATGTTTGGTGATTTTTTTTGATGGCTACTGACGACAGCTAGTGATGATAAGAGATACCTGTACCCACATTTTTTTCTGGTATTGTTCTGGAATTTTCCCTGTTCGTGTATGTGAACATGGACGTATTTTTTTCTGTTCTCTACCTCGAAAATAAAACCGCTGCTCTCTTCGCTCGATTAGATTTTTTTTAACAGACGGGTGTGTTTCGGATCCTGCTGGAACACGCAATGAGTTATTATTTTTTTTAAGATGACACAAATATTAGATTTTCTGGAGAAGTCCATCCTGCTGATGGTCTTTGTTTTCGTCGCTCAGCCAGTGGGTGCCGAATCAGAGGGAATTTTGAATTCCGTGCATCACCTTTATAAAGTAAGCTGCTTGCTAATGCTCTGGAACAAGCACTCACCATCTTTTTTTTTATCAGAGAGCTCTAGTATGAGCAAACACAAACACAAACTAACATTTTTTTTTTTTTATGCACACACATTAAAAAGCTTATAATATTGCCACCACATATTAACAAAATTTGGCAAAATCTTGGCCCCCACCCACCCCCTCAACTATGAGTACTGAGTACGCTATTTTTTTTTTCTCACCTTTGTACTAACGTCTCATACCAAACCACCAAATGTACCTTTTTTTTTTGATTTTTCGTGCGACTGTTTAACTGTGATTTTTTAAACTAATATTAATTATTTTTTTTACCGTTAATTTTGCTGTTTAACAGCGTTGGGGCTATACAAATTTGTTTATTTTTTTCCCTCTCCGGGGGATTTGGGATGACAAGGACTGGGTTTCAATTGACTGATTTTTTTTCGATAAATGTAAAACTAGTAATCATGATAACACAATAGAGTACAAACATTAAATGTGTGCAATACTTTCCACTATTTACTGCAAAATAGTGTTAATTAAAACAATAGAAAACAATAGAATTAGCATAATTTAGCGGTATCACAGTTTTAGTGTTTGTACTCTAGTTTTTTTTAGAATATCAGATGTGAAATTAATGCTTTTCTGAATAATTTCATAAAACCTTCGTAGATAAAGAAGAACGGGATTAAATCATTCACAAACTATTGAATTTTCCATTATTTTTTTTACGCAATGAAAAAATCCCCTATATATTTAGAACATCCGGGATCTCCTATTTTTTTTTAGGGAATGATGTCACGGGGATTCCCCAAAAAATTGCATTCACATAGTAATTTTTTTCTTCCAGGAAACGATTCAGTTTTCGATGTGAATGTGTTCTTTGCCTAGCAAAAAAAGTTCAATGTTCGAGAAAGACGTCATTTGAAAATTGAAATAGGAAACGGGACGTTTATGTAAGCTAACTAAATTTCGATCTGTCTTAACGTGGTCAAAGTTTTGAAGAAGAACCTCTGCAGCTTTAACTTTGGTCCACCATTTTTTTCATTCTAGGAAACCGTGATGACTAAGGGTTCTTTGTAGCTGTCTACAATCAAAAGTTCTGATAATGTCGACGTCTGTAGAACTAAAGCCTTCTAACTCTTCGTTGTCAAATGACGTACCAAGCGACGACTTCGTTTTTTTCTCTCCGACCAGTAGCATTTCTGATCAAAGTAAGCAGAGCTTCATAGGACGTATACACCCTGAAGAAGGTGATTCAAAGGGACCCGAGATCCACAGAGAAGACAATATTATGGAGAGGGTGATTGATTTAGTGAAAGAAAATGATACATTGAAAGAAACACTGATTTTTTTCAACACTGTTCTGCAGGTAAACTCATAAGCTTATTTGAACTTACTGAAATTTTTTTTGCCCTAGTTTTTAAAAAGAGAAGTCTAAATTTTTAATTGTGCAAGGAAGAGAAATTGAATATAATCAAAAGTAACTTGGCAAAAATGTAATTATGATTAAGATAATTAATAGGTGAAATATTATTTGCCTTATTGGTTTAGTTTTGATTTCTTCCATAAATCTATTTTTTTAATAACTTTCAGCAATATATCAAAGAGTTCACTGATATGCAAGAATCACACAAAGCCAACAGTGAAAACATAAAGAAAGAACATCAGAAAGCTAAAGAAGTTGTCAATTTTTTTCGGGATGACAACCGAACTTTGAAGGGGGAACTCAAAAACATGCAGTCCCATTTTTTTCAAGAAGTTTTGACAGGAAAAAAAGAAGATCTGGAAAGAGAAAATACATCTTTTTTTCAGCAGATCAGCGCACTCCAAGAACACATTAAAGCGATTGATTCAGATTTTTTTTTTTGTGAGGTAATAGATCTATATTTATTATAATTATATTGCTATGAAGTGCATTTTTTTTGGAACTCTTAGGTGTGTTCATTGGTTCAGATATAACATTCTGTGATCAACCTGTATGTTTGTATATTTATCCCCTATATTTACTAACAGGGACTTCTACCAAATATTTTTTTTTGTACATTATATATATATATATAATTTGACTTCAGTTGTCTTGAAAAGGGTTTTTTTATGTTTTCCATGTCTTATAAAGGGTTTTAATATTTATATTAACTATAAAGTGAAAATAAAAATACAATGGCATTGTGTATCAACATAATTTACACGAACACTACATAGTTACCATACCATCCAATTTTGGACCAAGTACAGACTCATTTTTAAAATTATTTTGATTTTTTTCAGGAAAATGTGTTGATACATTTTGAGCATGCATGCTTTATTATATCAATTTTTTTTTGGCTGATAAACAGGACATTTTTATAACATATCAGTACTTCAAAGGTTTCTTTTTTTTTTTTCCAAAGCACTATTTGTATAAATAATGCATAACACACAGTGTTAGCTTTTTTTACTTTTTTTAACTGCTTGCTGTATTATTGAAAACCATTTCAGTGAGAGAGTTTTTTTTAATATGTAAAGCAAAATTATTTTGTTTATATGGTATGTATGGTATACATTTTTTTTAGGTAATATTACATTTTGTCTGATATCATTCTGATCAGATTTCAGAGACTTTTTTTTATAATTGGCAGCAGCTTCTTGGTTCCTTGGCTTCATACAACTACAAGAGTTTTTTTTCACAACGAAATGAGGAACCTCTTGACAGTGAATTAAGTGGTGAATTGAGGTTTTTTTACAAAACTGCTGACCAAAAGAGCAAGGATATTGAAACTGAAATCCTGAGATTTTTTTTTGAGAAAGTTAAAGTTGAGAAGTGTCATTTGGATGATAAACTAACTGAAACAAAAGAGGAATTAAAAAAGGTACAAGAAAGTTCTAAACGAACGAAGGAAGAGAAGGAACAGCTCAGGAAGCTTCTTGATGAACAGTACTTGAAGAATGAAAAAGATCAAAATGAGATGGCTAGTGTATGTAAAAATCTTCAAGATGAAAACCAAAAACTAAAAGAAGAATTGACAAACAAAAATGAAGAGCTTACAAAGAAAATGGAAGAAAAGGAAGTTAAAAATGCTGAAATGGAACTGAAATCAGTAAGATTTGAACTAGCTATTTGCATTAATTAAAATAAAATCGTGGCCAACATTGTTAGCATGCTGTGCTATCTTAGATGACTGCTCATTGTTCAGAATGTTTCTGCGATGTTCTTGTTGTCTATAATATTGGGGTGTGATGGCATAGTGCAAGATGAAAACCAAAAACTAAAAGAAGAATTTTTTTACAAAAATGAAGAGCTTACAAAGAAAATGGAAGAAAAGGAAGTTAAAAATTTTTTTTTGGAACTGAAATCAGTAAGATTTGAACTAGCTATTTGCATTAATTAAAATTTTTTTTTGGCCAACATTGTTAGCATGCTGTGCTATCTTAGATGACTGCTCATTGTTTTTTTTTTTTCTGCGATGTTCTTGTTGTCTATAATATTGGGGTGTGATGGCATAGTGTTTTTTTGATGGCATAGTGGGGGTGAGATGGCATAGTGGGGGTGAGATGGCATAGTGTTTTTTTGATGGCATAGTGCGGGCGAGATGGCAAGGGAGGAAGATGACCATAAATCATTTTTTTTATAGAAATAATAATGGGAGAGACATTTGCTCATTCAGAATTTCTTTTTTTTTTTTTAGTCAAGATGATGATGATGATGATATTCATGATATCTGCAAGGAAAAGTTTTTTTTTATGCAAAATCAATACTTTATTCTTCAAAAAGAAATGAATAATATGGAAAAGAGGGAAAACTCTCTTTGTGCCAAGGAAAAAGCATTTGAAAAGGTTTGAATACTATGTCTGAGGAATTACATTTATTTCCCTCCCATAACCAATATCCTGTTTGCAAATTGATCTTTTTTTAACTGTATATTGTTCAAAATGGTGGGAACTAGCAGTAAACTACTGTGAGCTGCATCGGTGTTCTAATCCCCTAAAGAAACAGTTGTGTAAAAAGATAAATTAACAACATAAAAAAGTAGGTGAAATAACTTACTGACTTTTYGGACGTTAATCCTTCGTTGGAATTTTTTTATGGAACTAGGTAAAGTGTGAGTTTATGCAGTAAGAGTAGCAAAGAAAGTTTTTTTTTAAGAGCAAGGTAGACATGGTAACGTGAAATATACAAAAAAAGCAAGAGATTTTTTTGACAAAAAAAAACAATAAAGGTGCTAAAAAGGGAACAAAGGATATAACACTTTTTTTAAAACAAAGCGTTCATTGAACCCATGAGGATTATAAGTGCCCAATAGTGAAAAGCCGCATTTCTTTGGTTTTGTGACRATCATTGTTGCCGCTAATCAAAGACAAACCATAAACAATAAAGTTAGAAAGAGAATGGTTGGGTAGGTTAAAGTGGCGGGAAACAGTTTTTTTAATTAGATCGTTAAGATGAATATTATAAAGATGTTCACRGATACGATCGCTTTTTTTACGGGGAGTCTCGCCGACATACAATAAATTACAAGTGATGAGTGGTGAGTTGGGACCTGCAACAATGGAAGTGTGCAAGACAATGTATGGACAAGTGTTACAACTCTTCCATGAGCAACAGAAAGTGCCAGGATTGTTATTAGAATGAAAACAACTTTGACTAGTTTTTTTTGAAAGTTACGATCACCTTTATTAGAAAAAAAGGGGTCAGTCATTATCATTGCTACACAAGCGACTGAACGTGGGAATTGAGAGAAGGGAATGGCATTGAGAGTATGCTTAGAGTGAGAAGACGAATAGAGGAGATAAGAGTGAGAATCAGTAGGCTTATATTGTTTTTTTGTGCTGAGATGAATGTCAGTAATACTGACTTGAATGTCACTGATTTCAGATTTTTTTTCTAAGGCAGGATGAAAAGAATTGACATAAGAAATGAATGAGTCATCACGTTTTTTTGAGGTAGCACCAATACAATTGTCAATATAGCAGCCGAAAAGCCAGCATATTTTTTTTAGATAAGGTTTTCAATGTAACCAACAAACAAATTAGCATAACTAGGGCCCTTTTTTTTTCCCATAGCAAYGCCATTTATCTGCTTGAAAAACTGATCACCAAAAGAATTTTTTTTAAGAGTGAGAACAAGTTTGGCTAAGTGTAATAAAGTAAGAGTACTAGGCTTTTTTTTAGAACAACGATCAAAGAAATAAAGAAGGGCGCAAAGCCCTTCATCGTATTTTTTTTGCTGAAGTGCACATAGAAGGCACTGATGTGCTTGTAGAAGCCTCTGATGTTTTTTTTATGTGGAGAAGAACTAAGAAAATTTCAAAGACTTAAACWTAAACTGAAAATTTTTTTCTTGAAGGACAAGTACTAAGATTCGAACCAGCGCTATGCATTGCCTTGCCTTTTTTTTTACATAAACCTAACCRTTAAGCCACAAGACTAATTYGCTTAAGTGAACCTTTTTTTTTGTGATATTTATGCAACGGCATGCATGAATAACCACGCATTTGTACATATTTTTTTATATACAATTAATTAATCTTCTATAGTAACATGAGAGCCTTCTATAGGTATTTTTTTGCCATGCATATGATGAATTATATTACAAACTATTTACAAAGTATGGGAATTTTTTTTGCCATCAATACGGAACAAAAACAAACCAGAATCGGACACCTTATCGGACATTTTTTTTTCAGATTTAGGACAATTACCGACTGAGTTGTTATTTGAGATTCTGTTATAAAATGATGTACCGCTGATAAACGATATGAAAAGTAAAACATTTTAGGGTGGGGGGGTTTTTTTTTATTTCGGAAAGGAACCAGGAGAGGTTCAAAACATTTCGATCGTGTAGATTTTTTTGGGACATGATATTTCCATTACTCCATTCAAAATTTGCACCCCTCTCCCCCTCTGCTAATTTCTAACAAGTCCCCTACTAACATCCATTCAGTGAAATGGGGGAACAGGGTGTACGCAAGCCGATGAAATTGTATCAGAAAAAAGGCGAGCGAGTGATTTTTTTCATTCTGCATTTTGTCCAGGAGTGCAGAGGTACATTCCATTCATAAGTAAAAAAAATCACTAATTAAAAAATCCACTATAGCTTTAATCAAATTGAACAATTAATGTGTTAGTCCTTTTTTTAAGTACTTCCGCTCAGCTATAATGGCTTGCAAATGGCAATGTATTGATTTTTTTTTTATAAAAACACCATTTATTAAACATGACAAGAATCTTTCATTACTCCTCTATTTTTTTTGCAATGTTTAAGAATTATTTTTAGCAAAAAAGAAACAATTTTTATCCTCATGTGTAGGAGAAAGCAAACATCCGACAAGAGAAAGAAGAAACAAGGCAACGTTTGGCAGCTGAATTGGAATCTCATTCTAAAATCTTCATTGAAAAGACAGAGCAGTTGCATTTTTTTTTTGAGCAGGCCAGAGAAAGAGAAGAAGTATTACAAGAACAACTTGCCCATATTTTTTTTGAAAGCTCTGAGAAAGAGGAAAGTTTACAATTACAAGTGTGTCAGTTAATTTTTTTAAATGATTCATTGAGGGTCAAAAATGAAAAATTGACAGAACTTAATTCAATTTTTTTGGTATTGGATAACATTATATCAAAAACAAAATGTTAAATTATACCTGTCATTTTTTTTGTGAGCTGAGATGTGTACTTATAAATATGTATATAATGAGATTCATAATTTTTTTTAATCAATAATCACTGACCCCATGTCTGAGTAGAAATGGCAACAACATAATTTTTTTTATAATGATTTTGAAGAAGGACTTTGTAAAAAAAAAAGCAGTAACTGGGATTTTTTTTTCAACCGAATTTTCCCCTGGATGTCCCTCTCTGCAGACTGTAATAAGTATTTTTTTTAACATGAGCGGCCGTGTTGTATGGGAATTACAATCTCGAGCCGCAGGCGATTTTTTTTAATTCCCATACAACACGGACGCGAATGTTGTAAACGACTTATAAAACTCTTTTTTTAATTAACATGAATTACAGTGAGATAAATGACGAAAAATGACAAATAAGGTTTTTTTTGAGTTTAGTCCCTATTAAGCATGCGCAATTTACTGCAACACAGAACATTTTTTTTTTTTATCCGTCCCACATGGAAAGCAAGCCATCTGTTGCATAAGCGAGTTCTGTTTTTTTTCTTTGATTGCTTCAAAACCTAGTGAAGGTCTATGATGCGACACTAAAACTTTTTTTTTTGCTAGTGGGGTTGTCTCAATGGTGACGACCGTGTTGTAAATCTGATATTTTTTTTAGTGGTTGTATCCACTAGTGGTTGTATCAGATTTACAAGGTCAATCACCTTTTTTTATGGTCAGCCCTTATTGGAGCAATAGCTTATGCATTATTAATAAGTTTTATTTTTTTATATATTTTGAACTTGTATCATTTTCACAACTTGAAGGTGATGTACTGGTTTTTTTTCTACAAATACGAAGTCACAACATAGAAATAATTGTATCATTTTCACAACTTGAAGGTGATGTACTGGTAAGTTTCCTACAAATACGAAGTCACAACATAGAAATAATGAAATACTGAAAAAATGATGAAAACTTTACAAAACAATGTGTAAACTCTACACAGCCAACAGTGAAAAGAGGGATTTTTTTTTCATTGATGGCTTTACTGACTTAAAATACACAGGAGACTTACTGAACATTTTTTTTTACAAAACAATTAAAACAAAACAAGACTAATATTGCCAATACTCTTCAGTTTTTTTTTACCTTCTTGTGCCCAAATCCTACTCTTTCAGCCTGTAAGAATCATCAAGTTTTTTTTCAACGGGGATGAGGGCCTGGGGATGGTGCTACCTCAAACCTCTTTATCCCTTTTTTTCATTTTCAGTGTTAGTATACATGTTGTGAGTAATTCACATGATTAACAAGTTTTTTTCTTTTTTCAGGGATGCTCTCTATGAAGAACGTATGAAAGAACTGGAAAAAAACAAAAAAGCAAAAATACAAGAAAATTCCGGTGTTATTGACATGCTTAATAAACAACTTGGTGTAGCAAAAGAGGAAAGAAAAAAGTACCAAGACCAGAATGGTCACTTAAGGTTAGCAAAATTTAAAGCCGAAATCTGTATGAGCTTAGAATTGACATGGACATTTATCTTTTTTTGCTAAAAGGAAGGTGATTAAAAAAGACTTACATGCAAAAAAAATATTATTTTTTTTTGAGAGACATATGGTCATTATTTTGTTTAATGTGAGTGTGTTTTTGCTGCAGGAATGAGCTTGAAAGACTCACAAGTCAGCATGAGCAGATGATGAAAGAGTATGATGTTTTTTTTAATTCATTCAAAGGAAAATTGGAAGAAAATAAGGTAACTTCAAATTCCTAGATAAAAATAAAATTACTAACATTTATACCCATTCTGCATACCCGAGTGGAGGGGGTTTTTTTCCGCGGTAAAAGTACCGGGTACCGGGGATGCTCTCGGAAATTTTCAAAACTTTTTTTGGATTTTGATGAGAAAAGGGCGTGGCTGACTGATTTTTAACCCCTAAGAGTTTTTTTCACAACAAATATTGTTGAATTAAATCAGTTCCAATGATAAAATGTATAACTTTTTTTATGAACAAACAAAACGCAGAGGAAAACCAATATCGATGCCCCCTTTCTCTCATTTTCCGACACCCTAAGAGATTGCAGAAAATGCAAATCCCAGAAACTCCAAATTGTTTTTTTAAAAGATTTACATTCACGAATTTTTACCCCTTAGAGATCCGACGAGCATCCCCGGAACTTTTACCCCGTAGACTGTTTGAATAGAATGATAGTGATTGGACTCGAGTTTTTTTTTACGTACGGTTTTTAATTCTGGCATTTAAAATTATAACAAAGAAGTGTACGTACGTATTAAAAAATTGCATATGTAAAAGCAGTTTTAGTCCTCCCTGATACGCGTAATCCACTTTTCATTTTGAATTGTTCTATTTTTTAAAAAGATGAGAAACTATAGCAGTACTGCTGAGATTGAAAGCTACAAAGGAAAAATGGATGACCTGGCAACCCACTTTGCAGCTGCACAAGAAGCTTGTTTGAAAAAAGAAGTTGTGATCAAAGATTTAGAGAGAAGATTGAGAACAGCTGAAGTGCAAAATAATGAAGAACTACCTGTTCTTAAACAGCAGGTTTGTATATGCTCTAAGTACAGATATCCTTGGCTTAGTTTCCCATTTTAAAGCAAGTGTATTTATTTTAGGATAATGAATTTTATCAAAAGTKTCCACTCGAATTTGGGTCAGCAATTTTTTTCAAACATCCTCACTCCTAATTCCCTATCCTAATGTACTCGGCTTGACATTCATATTTTGGACATTTTATTCAACCTTGTACTATGACCCAATAATGACATTTTCTGCTTTTTTTGAAGTGTGAAAAAGTAAGTTCTACTGCTATCCACCCTTCGGTGACCCCCCAAACAAAAAATTTATAATGCGCGGTCCCTGCGCTACATCCGCTATAACTGCTAGACGTTTTTTTCTTTACCTAAGAACACTGGCATGTTTTCTTTGATAGTCACGATTATCATATTTTTTTTAAAGATGACGCTATTGTTTCTCTATTGACAGATGGAAGTTTACTTCAACTTTTTTTAGGCTGAACGCGAAGCCCGAGAACGGCAGCACGCAGATCTCCTCAACCTCCAAGAGCAAAACCAACGACTAGTGGATGCAAATAGAGGCTTACAGAGAGAACTAGACTTTTTTTAGAACAACCATCAAATGGCCGAAATGCAGCGAAGACACCTGAGCCATACATTTTTTTCGCACATTAATCCCGAAGCATTTCGACAGGGTTTCCAAACAAGACGYGGGTTTTTTTCCGTACAAAGACTTGAGGACTTTGAATGGCCGAGAGAACAGGAAAGAGCAGAGTCCAGGCCAAGTCCTCAGGAACGACAGCATGAGCTTGAGGAACCATTTAATTGCCCTGGTTGTGGACTTGAATTCTGGAGCTTCGATGCTGGAGAACAGCACGTTCGACAATGCCAGGCGGTCATACATCAAAACCGACCACCAATCAACAACAACCAGTGCCCGTTATGCGGAAATGAATATCCTGATCAAGACACGTTAGAAATCCATGTTCAAGAGTGTTTGTTTTTTTACGCTCAGTAATACTGTTACAGCTGATAAAACTGCTGTTTATAAAATCGGGAGGCTTCGAAAACGCGTCAAAACGAAATGGGAAAACCAAGCTCTTCAAGCCCATAGTTTTTTTTAGTTCTCTTTATACCGGGGTACCTTGTTTTAATTTTAAAGTGATACCAATTTTTTTCATAGATTTACAGCACTTTACAATAATATATATTTGTGCCATTAGTTGCGCGCCTGAAACAGAGCGTTATAAGGATTTATATAGTCACGCCAAATAAACAAAACTATAACACTTACGAAATTGTTACATACTATTCTATTAGAACAGGAGAATTGATTGTGACTTTTTTTTACCACGAAATGTTTATTTGTGGTAAGTAAATAAAAATGCTGATTTGAAACTTTTTTTACTTTACTCATGCCCAGGCTACAGTCGTACTTTGCCTTATTAAAACCCCATTTTTTTCAAGATTGTACGCATTTCTTTTCTCAACCTTGACGATTTCGTAGCAACTCATTGACAAACAACATTGCGAAAAGGCAGGAGGTAAACAAATTTGACCTGTCATTGACGTCATTAGAAATAGTTGAATCGCAACGCATAGTTCGAAGAACTCATTTGTTTCACAATTTTTTTGAAAGACTATCTTAAAAATCACCTAAAGTCAATCGGGTTGACACGATTGCTTTTTTTTAAGGTGCGTTCATTCATTGCCCGGGATCCGACCGTCTTCTCCCTCTTTGTTTTTTTAACTATAGACACATAGACAGCATGGTGGSGACCGAAATCTCCTGGCTTAATTTTTTTCCATGCGACGATTCAGCGCTTTGACGTCTGGATGTCCTTTTTTCAATTATTTTTTTTAAGTATTATTGTATTATCGCATACATTCACCATTGTCTTGCATTGTTGGCATACTCAATAAGGGCGTCCGTGGAAATGGTTGACGATTGCCGACTGAAATAGCAGTTTTTTTTTAAGCTACAAACATGCATCGGCTTTTGCCCTGAACCTTTCCAAAGAATCAATTTTTTTTGGTACACAGGAGAGCGATAGATGCTACGATTTTTCGTGCAACTTGTCGCTTTTTTTAAAATATTTGCAGGTTGCACGAGCGTTTTCACGCGAGTCAACTTTGCCGTTTGACCACAGGTAGCCCAAGCTGATTGATGAAAAATAAAAATAAAAATAAAAAAACCTTTTTTTTTAGTTGTCTCTTGTATTGTCTTTTTTACCTCGTGTGAAGTTTCAGGTCATTTTTTTGATTATTTAGCGGGATTTTTCGTATCTTATAACGTACCTTCGTACGTTACTTTTTTTCACGTAGGATGATTTTTTACATAGGATTTATTTATTCATTTATTTATTTTTTTTTTTATTTCAGCAAAAAGAGCTTGGGCTGCCTGTGGTTTGACATGGTCTCGTGCTTTTTTTAAATATTTTTTGTTTWTAAGTTGCACGAAAAATCGTAGCATGTGTTTGATTTTTTTTCATKGTTTTCCTGCGATTGCTCTAATTTGGCAGCCTATRCACCTTTATCATTTTTTTTGCAATTGTGTTTTTCCAAAATAAAATAAATATGAATATTTTGTCACTGTAACATCAAAGAACTATCAGAAATAAACGTAATTTTCAGCCAAGGCCTTTATAGCCTCGTTCTGGTGTTATGATATATTTTAAATCCTTTTAACTTCACCAGAATTAAATATTTTCATTTCAAACTTTTATATGTTGTTATTAGCACAGGTTCCTATCAGCTGTTAGTTTACTTTGACTAAAATTCTAAATTTTAAAAATTTATGCTAATTAGATGACGGCCATTATGAGACTTTGTTATAAGATCGTAATTTCTATCYTGACTGCAAGTTCAAAGAAAACAGGCGTTTTTTTAGATAGTAGGATTCTAACAGCGTAGCCACCCATATTGGAGTTCTTTTTGTTTTTTTTTAAATATATTGGTATTTAATTTGTGGTTGACAACTCACTGTTCTTGCGTTTTTTTTTTTGGATGGCGTTACTTTTATTTAAAACAAAAGCTAAGAGTCTCTGTGGTTTTTTTTTATAAATACAATACGCCAATTTACTTTATAAATTTGCTTCTCTTGGCTATCATAAGCTTTTACGGGCAAGGTAAATAATTCGTTTCTTAAATGTATCAAAATCTCAAATTTTTTTATATTCAGTTATACGCACCTTCACATGATTGAAATGCAACGTTACCTTCAACACACCCAGTCTATGACGTCACGTCTTGACACGATTTGCTCGCAGAATCGTGTTTTTTTTTTTGAAATCATCCCTTAAATTGTCCCTGGTGAAGGGTTTTTGGTCAACAAGTCAGGATTAGAGACCTGTGTAAGCTCCATTATCAGTCCACTGATATCTTTGTGAACAGGTTTTTTTTACAAAGTTCAACTACGAGAAAAATGCCGGACGGTGTTGACATCCTGACCAAAGCTACTCCTAAACGCGTAAGTCAATTTTTTTACTATAACGCATCACTCTTTAGGACTTTCCTTTTCAACAGCGGCTTCCTGTGTAATTGATCATTTTCCTTTCGTTTTCGAACAAAGCTAGCCCTTTATAGAGGTAGTTCCTTGAGGCCTGTCACTTGAGTAACTTTTTTTTTTTACTTTGAGCACGACTTGCAAACAGTAAGCGTAGTCTAGTCATGGCCAAAATTTTTTTCGACATTCCGAAAGACGAGAGAGAGGTAAATGTTTGTATATTTTAAGCAATTTTTTTCGTGATTTATGGGAATTGAGTTCCGTCGTTTAAGAAGTTACACAAATCTAATTTAAATTAAGCTTAAATTTAGTCTTATGAATTGTTATACAGAGAGCATGATATCTTTTTTTTTCGAGCTTCATAACACTTGAAGTTTATGACCTTTTACTAAAAAACAATGATTTTTTTATTTGCTTTTCTGTTTTGCCCAAAGCATTGCGTACTAAAGTGAAGGTGTAAGCAATCTGTGGTCTGTGGCTGCCACTACAGCTTCAAATGAATCTCATAGGGCTATAAGTACATACAGTATATAAGTTTACTCCTGGTACGAATATTAGAAATAATTGTTTGTATTTTTTTAAAACGGCTACCGGAGATACTTAAGTTTAGTATTTTTGAAACTTWAAAACTTTTTTTATCCTAGATGAATAGCTGTTGAAAGAGTTGTTTACATTTTTTACAATGCGTTTTTTTATTTGGAAGTCGACGTTTATCTTATATTTGGATTCTCACACATGAAATCCTTGCTTAAAACACTTGAGTTCTTCCTAAAACGCCGTTTCCCCGATTAAAACCATTTTTTTTTTTCATAGTATTGAGACGGGAACGTCACGATGTTTGGCGACAATATTTTTGATTTCAGTAGGGAGAGGTAAGGCTAACTACCCACAATAGGCGACTTGCACTAAGAAATCTTTTTTTTTCTTGGATGGCAACGCGCGCTTTGTAAACAAACTTTCAAGATGGCCGTCTTTTTTTCGGAAAGCGACAAAAAGAGGTTAGTAGGACTGCTTACACGCAGATTTCTATTTTTTTCTTATCGAATATTGGTACCTATGGAGTCTTAAAACATATTTATCTTTTCGTTTTTTTTGAAACAGAGATTTTTACGGCAATTATTTCACTAAATCCAAAGTCGCTTCTTTTTTTTTGTTGCAACTTTTCGTCGTGGCCTTTGACCTTGGACTTGCTTTTTAAGGTTTTTTTCCTAGAAACATCTAAAAACGCTTGAAAGAATCATCCAAATATAAGTAATTTTTTTTTTTTCAAGGCGAATTTCATCGTCATTGATCTTATTCTTTAGCGAGCCGATGTTTTTTTGGTCTCTTGACCTAACCAGGATGCCTGATGTGACGTTTAGCGACGTAGAGTTTTTTTCAAAGAAAACTGGAGGCTCAACGAGTCTTAAGAAAGCGTACAAATTTTTTTTTTTTTCAGGATATCTCCATGATTATAAAGGTGAGTTTAAGTGTTTTTTTAAATGTTTTTTTTTGCTTTTTAAAACGATATAAACTCAAAAACCAGTCGATGCATGTGTTGTTTTTTTTTTTTATGATCTCAATATTATTGAACTCTGTTGAAATTTCATTTTGTCTTTATTTTTTTATAGTAAAGAAGAGGCTACTATTGAGAGTAAGTGCTTTCGCTACATGAAGTTTTTTTAGAAGCCACACTCAGTATTTATTGTGTGTTTACTTGAAAACAAGAGTTTATATGGGAAGTGTTCGTGCGTGGCTGGTGCAGGAGGAGCATGTCAACATACCCTGGCACTTTTACTGTTGATTGCACACTGCAAGCAGCTGGGTCTAACAGCTTTGCCCGACGAATTTTTTTGCACTATGTCAGCTCAAAGGTGGAATATTCCCAGGGGGAAAAAGATCACCTTTTTTTGTGTTGATCAAGTGGTTGTTAAGAAAACAAGAGAAGGAGCTGACTACACTTTTTTTTTAAAGAGCTCTTTGTACTCCCCTGCCTCACAATACCTGCTGCTAGACTCTTTTTTTTAGGAAAAACTGAAAGGTCTAGAGCCAGTACCTCTCATATGTAATCTTTTATTTTTTTTGTCTATCACAAACCTCCCTGCAATTTCTACAAGATTTGGCAAAGTTCCTTTTTTTTGCATTTTATCCTATCAACAGAAGCTCACTTCCACCTACATAATCAATGATTTTTTTTACACTGATTTTCCTTCATTACCATTAACCAACAACACCTCTTTCACCAATTTTTTTTGTTTCTGTTTAAACGCTGAGCAATCAGCTACACTAACATCCCTACATGTTTTTTTTTAAATGTCCTTTCATCTAGAAGAAAGAACCAGAGATCAAAGTGACTGTCAATTTTTTTATAGTTTGAGAAAGAAAAGAATAACAGCCAGTAAATTTGGTATAGTAGCTTTTTTTTAAGCCAACTTTGAGACACTTTGCAAGCAACTAGATCCAACCCGTCATGTCTTTTTTTCAGCAATGAAGAAGGGAATAGAGATGGAACCATTAGCAGCCTATACATATTTTTTTTAAGTAAAAAACAGTTCTGTCAACTTATATCCATGTGGTCTTGTTATTCATCCACTTTGCCCATGGTTAGGGTGTTCCCCTGATCGTAAGGTCTTTGACATGGAACTATTTTTTTAAGATGCTAGGAGTCCTTTTGGTTTACTTGAAGTTAAAGTTGTTTGTAAATTTTTTTAAAGCTTACATGATGTGAATTATTTAACTTTTGACCAAGACAATAATCAATTTTTTTTTAAACGAACACATGCGTATTTTTATCAAATACAATGTCAGCTAGCCATTTTTTTTTTACAATGGTGTGACTTTTTTTGCTTTGTAAGCAGTGATCTTTATTTTCATTTTTTTTTTCTATTAGATAGAGATTTTTTTCAAGACAGCAAAGACAGGGTTGATACCTTTTTTTTTACTTACTATATTACATAGTACACTCTCTGTGTTATTCTTAGGTAATACTTTTTTTAATGTAAATAGCATGATAATTTATACAATACTTAAAAATTAATATTATTGTTTTTTTGTAATCATCAATCAAAAATTACAGGTATATTCCATTCAAATATTTATTTGTTTTTTTTTCTTATCAAATTGTCTTTATTAGAAAGACATATTGAAAATGAAATTATTTTTTTTTGACAATTTTTATTAAATTATTTTGCCACTAATATAGTTGTTTTCATTATATTTTTTTAGAAATATTGCATGAATAGTTTATTATAAATCTAGGCCCTTGAAGAGTCCTTTTTTTTTAAGGGACCTTGAAAGTTTGTCAACAGACATGACACTGTCCACAACTGGTTTTTTTTTCCTAGTAAAGATAAGGGAACAATGCCATCAAAGATGTGAAATTCTTTTTTTTTTTGGATTGCCCTTTCAACATGAATCCTTAACATGGCTATTTTCTTTGTCTCTTTTTTTTCTTGCTGCCTAAGCTGATTATTATCTGATAAGTAAGGGGGTATGTTAAGATTTTTTTACTTATTCACTAAAAGATCACTTATATCAAAACCTTTGTCAGCCATAATGTTTTTTTGAGCTTCCAAAAGATCTAAAATACCAGACTGTGCAGTTATCTCTTTGTCATTTTTTTAGCCTGTATATAGAGAGCTTATGAAGCACACTGCACCATTTGGAGTGATTCCAATCAAGCCTTTAAGAGTGGTTGAACTCTTGTAGTTGCTGTACATCTGTGATTGTTTTTTTTGCGACGTAGGCACTTGCACTTTTATTTCTGTACAGTCAATAATGCAGTGGGTAGTTGGGTACAGCATTTTAAATAGAGGGGACATATTCTGTTTAACAGTGTCAAAATTTTTTTAAATAGGCTGCATTCCAAGGAAAAAGTACAAGTAATTGGCCCATGTAATATTTTTTTGGCTAACCGTTGACTCACTGACGTTAAACYTATGTGCCAGGTCAAATAGTTTTTTTTCCAGTCTTATTCGAACTAAAAAAAGGAAAAGTTCATCAATAAGTAACATCTTCTTGCTGCCTGGGCGCCCCACTGACAGATTACTTCCATAGTAGTATGTCATGGTTTTTTTTTAGGGCTGCACATATTCATAAAATAAAATAAAATGCTTATATGAAGGAAATTTTTTTTAAAATTTGATTGAATCGCTATCATTTGTAAATCTTTCACATCCAAATTTGTTTTTTTTCATGGCAGATAGTCTGGCCGTCAAGTCTTCTATCTCCTCCTTTAGTTTTTTTATTTCACCCTCAAGAACATCAGTTCCAGTTGTACATCTGTTTCTAAAAACAAATTTTTTTTGTTTCAAGTCAGAATGTATATGATCATTTTACATACTATTTTTGGTTGTTTTTTTTTGAAAATTAATTTATCCTTTATTCTTGAAGGATAACAAACTTAACTGATAATTTTTTTATACGACAAGAGTCCCTTTTTTAATTTAGTTTCGCTTTCTCTTTGCATGATTTTTTTGAATTATTTACTTACATAGCAGCATCTTCAGCATTTGTGAACTTCCTCACTTTTTTTCGTCTGGGAGGCKTGTTGATGGTCCATGCAAACTGAGTAGGTATAGCATATTTTTTTAATCTTCTGCGCCCACATATGTCATCGCCTTCTTCATAATTCTCTTTTTCTTTTTTTTTTGAGCATACTCTGGTATTCGATGTTATCTAATCAAKACATAAATATTCTTTTTTTCCCAAAATATTTCTGAACATACTTTGCATGCAAAATAAAACTTTAGTCAGTTTTTTTATGTAAAAATACGGCTAATAAAAAATATAAAAAATAATAATTCAGAAGTCTTTTTTTGCCACGTAATCTTACCACAAAGTTTTCTCCGATGTCTCTTCGTATTTTTATTTTTTTCTGTTTTCTTATTTCCTCTCGACAAGGGAAGCGGTGAAAAGACAAACCATTTTTTTTTCGGCCATCGCTTGTGCATTTTGGCACACAACAAACATAGTTGTTTGTTGTTTTTTTCAAATTGTGAAAATTCGAAATTAGACCAATATTTCCCGAAAACTACATGATTTTTTTGATTACTCCTTCCCACTCTGTGTTTCGTARTGAGCGTTTTTAGATRTTTCTTTTTTTAAACCCTTAAAAAGCAAGTCCAAGGTCAAAGGCCACGACGAAAAGTTGCATTTTTTTACCGGAAGCGACTTTGGATTTAGTGAAATAATTGCCGTAAAAATCTCTGTTTTTTTTCAGTCGAAAAGATAAATATGTTTTAAGACTCCATAGGTACCAATATTCGATTTTTTTAAGCTAGAAATCTGCGTGTAAGCAGTCCTACTAACCTCTTTTTGTCGCTTTTTTTTTCAGCGACGGCCATCTTGAAAGTTTGTTTACAAAAGCGCGCGTTGCCATCCTTTTTTTCACGTGATTTCTTAGTGCAAGTCGCCTATTCAAGTCGAAACTCTGGGCGCTTTTTTTCATCAAGTTCGTCGCACTGAGTGCGGCGAAAGGTACAAATTTTGTTTTAATTTTTTTTTTCGGCTCTAGAAAAAAAAATTCTCCGTAGTACATGACTTAGAAAGAAATTTTTTTACACTCCAAAAATGGCGGCATCAATTGAGCAAATTCAGGAGCCAGCGTATTATCGACCGAAGAAGGTAAAGTCCTCGGTCATCTTGAATCATTGGACTCTTAATTTATTTTTTTCTCCTTTTTAGTTATTAGACAGTGGGTGTACCATTGATCCTAGATCACTGTTTTTTTTCTTGCATTAGTTAGTTATAGAGGCTAAAATTCACGCTATGCAACTTCATCAATTCCCAACGCTTTAGTTGCCTTCGTTGCCTTGGTCAACAATCGAACGTACCTGTTCGAATATGTAATACACCTGTTTATAAATCTAGAATGAAAAATTACTTCTTGTAAATTTTTTTTATTCGCGATATTTGTTTGTCTTCCACTAAGAGGGTAAAAGTCTTCGTTAATTGAAATATTCAGTATTTTCAGTAGATATGAATTACTAAAAATTAGGGTTTTCAAAATTTTTTTTACAATTTTAATATAATCAACTAGATATTGCCTCGCTACTCATTATTTGTTTTTTTTATCAGGTGTGAAATTCTATTCTCTTATGCTAGCTGAAGGTTTTCTGATCACAAAAATCTTGAATGAGTTGGCAAGCTATAGTCTGTTCTGTTTTTCTACTGAGAATATTTTTTTGAGGGTGTGTAGTAAAGTGAGATCATCTACATTTCCATTGCCTTATTAGTTTTTTTTATATAAGCTGATATAATGTCAAATAACACTTTAATCTGGATTTATACTACTTTTTTTTTCTTTACATTTTGCTCGTCCATTTTTTATTGTCATTGAAAAGCTTGCTATTTTTTTATTGGACAAGGTCTATGAAAGGGATATTTTAAAGAAAACATGTAGATGAATTTTTTTGAAATAATCTAATTCTAATGTCTACTTTTATATTTATATGACTGGAAGGATTTTTTTTAGATGCTTATGATTTGTTGTCATTTGTGCCTATATCACAGCTGTAGGCCTTTTTTTGTTTTGCAATTATTTTCATACTTTGTAGGCCAATTTTTATTGTTTTGCAATTTTTTTCATACTTTGAACAAAAAATTATATTTGTATTTTTTTTCCAACTGGAATTATTTTTTTCAAAATTTCTTAACAATCTTATTATCTAATTGCAAAGACATTATGTCCAGTTTTTTTTGTGAAATTTTGTCATTCTATCAGATATTGTACATTATGTGTTTCTTTACTTTTTTTTGCACTTGATACAGTGTTGTAACCATAACAATTTTCTCAAGGATAGAGTTTTTTTTTTTCCAAAATATGGGATGTAGTTTTATCTCTTGTTCTCTTAGTTTTCAGAAATGATATTTAATCAATGTAGTTTAGCTTTTGATTTAACACAAAATACTGAAATCCTTTGGCATTTAAGACAGTGAACTTTTCAACCTATTTTAATAAGTACTGATGTCAAAATTTGGTGGATTTTTTTTATTAATATTATATGTGTGCTTATAATGCACAGAAGTCTCCTTGGTAGCCTTTTTTTTTATGGACARGAAGGGTCAGCAAAAGTTTGAGCTGCAGTAGAGGCTGTTATTTTTTTTTTTACAGTACTGAACTRAATTTGAGTAAGTGGTCACATGATTAGGTGGTTTTTTTTTTTTGTTTTATCACGTCTCCTCCCCCCACAATCCTTCACRTCAGTTTTTCTTTTTTTCCTAGAGATACTATGAGGCTATAAGTGAAAATTGGTTGTCTGTAGATATGTTACCTTAAATAGTCACACTTTTACTTAGTTGTACCATCGATATTAATGACATATACTTTTTTTAAACTTCCCAAAGAAAAATATTTGTGTTTTATAGTTGCATTATTCTTTTATTTTTTTATCAGGCAAGTGCTTTTAGATATCAATATTAACAAATCATTTTGACTTTGTTTTTTTAACTAGCTCATGAAAGAGATGCAGGAGCACCTTGCCTCAAGTGTGGACCAGAACTTTGTGAAGGAGGATTGGACTTACATTTTTGGAGGTAAAATGTACACCATGCATTTTTTTATGGAACATTTTAAGYAAGAGCATTGAAAATTTACATCTTCTAAAAAATGTTTTTTTTAAATTTTGCTTCATGAACAATTGATAATACAGCTTCAAATCAAACTCATTTTTTTTAAATTTATTTTTTCTAATGGTCATGGTATTACAAACTTATTGCCTGCAGATTTTTTTAGTGAATTACATTTTCTCAAATACTGGACTGCCCCCTCAGTACTTCCACATTTTTTTCCTTGGTATTCAGTGAAATATTAAAACTGTGTTCCTGTGTTTCATAATACTTTTTTTGATTATGTGCATTCTTGCAGGAAGATCTGCAAGACCTGCAAGTGTAAGCCACAAGATCATGACATTAAAAGCACAGAAGAGGAAAATCACAGATTAGTTGTTGGTAGCCTGTTTGACAGAAATTCTAATATCAGCCACATTAGGGATTATTTTAACAGACTGGACAAAGCTGATAAACAACCAAAGACTGAGTATGTCAGAAAATTCACTTGGACCCCTCCTTTTTTTACACAGGCTACAGTAAGTARACTATTGAGAGATTTGTAAAGCAAACATTGCAGGACCATATTAGCCTGCATGCAGCTGAACAAAAACCTTGTGTTATGTTCGTCTGCAAATCACATAGCAAGGATCATGTTCTGTGTACCRGGATATATGTACTTTGCTCTCATTTTTTTTTTATTTTTGAATTCTAACTAACACACTTACTGGCTACAGGAAACTTGTTCCAGTCTGACTCATTATTTTTAATAAGCCTCGGAGCTCATCCATTATCCTATACRTAATTTTTTTATGTTCRATTGTCCCCAGAAAAACCTAAAAGTCCAAAGAATTGAGGCAAACATTGACATGTATGCTGGCATGGGACAGGTTTGCTCAGTCCAATGAGCGTACTTATTGAAATTCAGAACTAAACAGCCACTTAGAGCAAAGTGCATATGTCACGGTACACGGAACACAATCTTCATCATTGATTAACAGATGAACATAACAAACGTTTTGGTTCACAAGTTTTTTTTTTGTTTAGTTTTGGAAAAATTGGTCTAGATCTCTGGGGTATTAATTAAACATTTTTTTTCATTATACAGGCATGTCGGAATTTTGCGCGAAAAAAATCAAAATTATGCTTTTTTTTTTGGTAAAWTATGCAGAAAATTATGCRGCATGACATCATTACAAGAAAGTTTTTTTTAGGAAATTTTACATAGTTTTTGGTTATTGTTTGTTTTCCATTCAAAACTTTTTTTTTATATTTAGTTACAAAATATCGAAGGCAGTACTAACTGAAGAAAAGATCGTTTTAGACTTAATTTTTGTTTTCGCGCGCTTTATGTCTGATACGGCATGTTGGAATTTTTTTTTTGCTCTGCTAAGGCACAGGACAACCATSTTTTCTGATGAGATTTTGAATGTTTTTTTCATTTGTGAAGCCCACGAAAACAAAACTATATTCAGAAAATTATAAGCATTTTTTTTAGCGATTTTTGATCAAAGAAACAACCAAGGGACCACAGAAAAACATCAGTTTTTTTTAAGTCATCTTAAAAAATGGTATAACATGGGAAAAATCATGAATTATGTGGTTTTTTTCGTGATTTGGTAAATTATGTGGAAAGGGGGCAATTATGCACATCCACATCTTTTTTTAATTCCGACATGCCTGATTATATGACTGAGCTAGGATTGGCCAGATGTCATTTTTTTTGCACTATATTCTCATATATTATGTTTAGCCTTGTACATGTATAGACCATTTTTTTTCAACAATTCAATATATGTGTCAATCACTCCTAAAATTTATATTAAAAGAGTTTTTTTCATGTATCTTGAAAGGTAGACATACCTTTGCATCGAAGTGAGACAACTATTGAGCGTACAATGATAGAAACCTTCTTTCACACCTACAGACAATTATTCACAGGTATTTTTTTTTGCAAGCTCAACGTTTGTCTTGCTTTGATGTAAAGGCACGGTTACCTTTCTTTTTTTCACAGGGAACCTTTAAGAAAAAACTATTGATCTTATGGCATAATTACTCCTTTTTTTTCTATTGTTTTAACGCTAAGGATCATGGTTGCCAGCGAGAGACAGAAACATTTTTTTTCAAAGGGAATGTACACAAGTGATTATTATTGTTGCTGTGGGTACTTTTGTTTTTTTAGCTGTCAATTTTTCCTACTGAGATCTCTGAAGGCAAACACACACAGACATTTTTTTCAAAATCCAAATCTAAAGTATGTCTATAACCTTGAAATTGCTTCTTATAGTTTTTTTAATATATGGATGCCCTTAAAAAGGATGGACTCTGCCCTGAAGTTGGATCAGATGCAGCCAAGTACCGTCGTACGCAAATGGTGTACCAGTTACCTATCCATGACCATTTTTTTTACTACTGTGATAACTTRTCAGATCAGGAGAGAGATAGAATGAGAGAGTTTTGTAAGATGCGCAATGATGAAGCACTTGGTGTGGGTGATGTCAAAGAGAAAGCTCCAGGAACATCCAAATGGGTAGGTGATGGAATAATTTCTTAATGATAATTAAGGGTGTTTGTAGTTTTATCACAGATGTACAGTTTTAAATTATKTGATTTAAGYTTAATCTGGATTTTTTTTTTAAAGTATATCTAATCACTTAATTGAAGTCACATACCATTATATTATTGTTTTTTTTATTTTATCAAGCACCTTTGTGAAAAAATGAAATTGATTTGCTTTAGGCAATTTTTTTATTTATAAATAATTTGAAGGATTCAAAGCAGCTCATTAAGGAACCATATATTTTTTTATGGGCGATAAGCAAGGTGGCAATCTGGACAAGCATTGATAATGTTTATCTTTTTTTACAACCCCATGTAAAATACGATATATTTCAATATTGTCCGGCTAACTGATCAACTTAGATGGCAAAGTGTCTGGTTTACTGTTTGACTTAGATCACTTGCAATGATGTCAAGCATAAAAAATTGATGAACACTTRGTCAAGCACACATCAGTACATAATGATTGTTTTTTTTATGGAGGAACACTCGGTCTTTTGATGAATCAGATCAGTGTATTTCAGCATTTTTTTATCATAAAACGAGTGGACATCATTGTAGTAAGATGCTGCATTTATGTGTGTTTTTTTACATTCGTTCTTGCGGTTAAGTCTCGGCCCAGGTTTTTTTCCCTAGAAAGTTTTTTTGGGCGTGTCCGAAAGGCCCTTTTTCAAGCGATATTTCTGTGTTTGTTTATTTTTTTTCAACCGAAAATTGTTTTTTGATAATAATAGACAATAATACCAGAATGTTTATAGGGAATTTCATAATTCATTGACTTGACAGCTTTAACATGATCAAAAGGGCTTTCACGAGTGAAAAATTGAAAATATTATTGTCATCTTATTCATTGTAGGACTGTTACCGATGTGGTAAAGGTATGAATGTTGGTGATGTTGCTGTGTTTGCATCACGGGCCGGAGAATTTTTTTGCTGGCATCCTGGTTGCTTTGTTTGCTCCATGTGCAACAACCTTYTGGTTTTTTTTTTCTATTTCTACAAGGATGGCAACATTTACTGTGGTCGACATTATGCTGAGTTTTTTTAGCCAAGATGTGCTGCATGTGATGAGGTAAGACTTCTCAAGAAACTTTGCAAAAGGGTATAGGCTACATGTGTGTTTGAGAATTATAGAGAAATTAATAAAAATAGCAGAAACAAAGTGAATTGTAGTGGGGAGATAACAGGCCGGTCCATCAAAGTATGGGTTTTTTTTTCAAATTGTTCGTGGTCTAATTGTTATTCATTTAGTTTTTGTGAAAAATATTTCTAGCACACCTGGTACCCTGATGTAAARCAGCCCTAATACAAGTCTCCGATTCCATTTTTTTCTACGCGATAAGCATTTTTTCATTATTTTCGRTAATACACCTTTTYGAGTTTTTTTTCACTCAGTAGTGTTGTGGGCTTTCGCATATGCTTCAAAGATTTAAATTGCTTTTTTTAATTTGACAATTATTTCTTTCATTTACCCTCTCTAATAGTATTACTTTGATTTTTTTGTATTTGTTGTACCTATTTTGATCTCCTTGTCATTCAATAGTTGATCTTCTCTGATTCGTACACACAAGCTGAGGAACGCAACTGGCACCAGCGTCATTTCTGTTGTCTGGAGTGTGACAAAGATCTCGGTGGCATGTTGTATGTGGCTAAGAATGGCCAACCTTTTTTTTTCGATTGTTACGACAAATATTATGCCAAAGTGTGCAACACATGCAAAAGGAAGATTGCAGCAGATGGTCAGAGAATCGAACATGACGGGATGTTCTGGCATGCGACTTTTTTTTGCTTCAACTGTGCAAAATGCAATCGTAATTTACTTGGTCAACAGTTTCTCAAGGCGAAAAACAATGTCTTCTGTTCGGTGGAATGCGCCAAAAGCTACTAGATCATTTTTTTTTTAACTAAACTAGTTGTAATTTAATTTCGTTTTTAATGTTTCCTCGCTGATTTTGATTTAGTTTGAAAAATGATTTGCATACACCCTCTGATTTTATTTTCGAAGTTACTTTTATCAAGGATATATACTTTAATCAGCTAACTCTGCTTTAATGCTGTTTAAATTTTTTTTTGTTGTAAGATATATCGTATTTTAATTGAGTCATTAAAATCAATAATTACATTTTTTTTGTGGTAAATCTTTTTCTATCTTATTTGACTCATGTTTTCAAAAGCACACTTTTTTTAAGTACAAAGTGCTATTTTGTTTGCGACCAACAGTAGCTTTCGCGGAACATTTTTTTCCCTTTCTCGCCCAACTCCAGTTTTCGATAAGGGCGCGTGCACACTACGATTTTTTTGTAAACATATTAATGTTTACTACGACATAAGCGTAAACATATTAAWGTTTTTTTTTTCATAAGCGTAAACATATTAATGTTTACGCCCTGGGCAGAAACATACGAAATTTTTTTTGGTTTCAGTAGCCTACTCTAAGGTTCATCCATTAGTCCCGTAGGCTGCCTTTTTTTTAGGGGGGGGGGGGGGGGGGGGGGGGGGGGTCGTTTTTCATAATGCCTAATTTTTTTTCAATGTAATAGGTATAGTGTGTAAGAACTGGCTGCTAGAATGAGCAGTTTTTTTTTAAGTACAGTTTATACTAAAAGAATTTTAAAATAGAATAATACAAAAAGAGTTTTTTTGGACCTTTTAAGCTTGTTTTTTCTGGGATTATTATCTTATTTATAGAAGATTTTTTTATTCTCTTATTTGCCACGGTTGCCACTATTTATCCGGATGGGAGCGACTTTAGAATACGCCGTCACTTTGAAAGCATGTATGAAAGACTGCCACCGCGGTCCGCGGTGCCGCAGTGCTCGCTATGACTTTTGGGTGTTATTTCCCTTAGACTTTAAAAGAACGAGAAAATTCCTATGAAAGACTGCCACCGCGGTCCGTGGTGCCGCAGTGCTCGCTATGACTGGGTGATTGATTTGCGACCAGGCCTTCATATGAATTCGCCAAGGTTGTAAGCCAGTGAGCCCGTGCATTTGTGTTAAGCGGTCATATTTGAAAGTGTAAATAAAGGAAAGGGAAAACCCGCAGCTCTCCTTTCACTCAGATAAACAGTACAAGTCGTGTTAAATTTATTTACATAACTAAACAAAATGATTATAGAATTAAATCTAAGAATTGAATGCTCATATCAAACATTTTCCACCTTAAATACACACGTGTTTTTCAGATGGGAATTTAGTCGAACTTTTTTCACGATGGAATTTTGTTTTGAGTCGTTTCAACATAAACAGTCGCTATCAAGACATTACACGAAAAACCCCAGTGACCGTTCTAGCTCTCGTTGTAAGGTCAAAGYTAGTAAATGTGTAACCGACCTGTTACGTCAACCTGTTGTATCGTCGAGCACGCTTACGGCTTATTGCCGAAATTGCGACAAAGGATGAACTACGACTGTTGTCACTACCAAACATAACAACGCTTTAACTCTATTGGAATACGTGGAGCTAAACTGCTCTAGCTCTTTCCGTGATGTTGTAGATACCTCAAAGCTTAGAGGAAACAAGAGCTAAGAAAAAGTATTTGCAATGGTTCCTCCTAAGATATTTTGGAATTGAACGTCRCTTCAACGACCTTCTGAAGACTTCGTGAAGTCGGCCATTGCTTCGTATGCAATGGAGAACCCGCGTAGAACACAGACCAATTATTTTTATCAGGGAGGGGAGTCTCTTGGTATTAAATAAAAAATTATTTATTATTTCATTTTTAAGATAAAATTCTATTTCTATAGCGATAAATATTTGATTGACTTTTAATAAAAGCTATTTTATAAAGATTTTCAATTTCTCTTTGCGTTTTAGCTTTTATTTTTCGGATAGAATAAAATGGCGGGCAGCCTACTCCACTGGGTCGAGTTTTGCTATGCAAATTCCTCCCGTCGGGGGCTATGTTTACAACATAAGCTTGTCAGCTTTGCGCTGATTGGCTAGTCGCATTTTCTCAAATCACCCAGGACGTTTGTGTGTTATTTCCCTTAGACTTTAAAAGAACGAGAAAATTCCTGTGAAAGACTGCCACTGCGGTCCGTGGTGCCGCAGTGCTCGCTATGACGTTTGTGTGTTATTTCCCTTAGACTTTAAAAGAACGAGAAAATTCCTGTGAAAGACTGCCACCGCGGTCCGCGGTGCCGCAGTGCTCGCTATGACTT